AAAGCCAACAAAATATTGGTGCAAGTTGAAGCAAAGGGAAGTTGGCCTAGATTGTTGTGAAAGCCACCCATTCTTTTCCATTTTTATTTTTTAGCTTTTTTTTATTATTTTATTTTGAAGATGCATTGAATTTAAAAAGTTTTGTTTTTGTGAATGGTTGTTAGAAAATTTTCAAAAGTATTATTACCACGTCATAAAATATCATTAGAATTTTGAAAAATACTTTTAGTTGCTTATGATTAATGAATGGGATAAAAGAAAACTCGACTTTCCAGCCATATTTTAAATTATCGACGTTGCTTATGATTATAAATGGGATAAGAGAATCAATTTGCACGTATATATATACATCTAACATAGTCCACATGCTGCTAAAAGTAGTTTTTTCACCGTCCTTATACTTTGATTATGCTAGGTTATTCCTCAAGAGAAGTTATTTATAAATGTGGCAAATAATGTATGTAACTCTTCTTAAAAAGTGCAACAAAGTAGCAATCCGTGGTATTGAAGTTATATTATCTCCACTGGTAATAAGAACATTTGGTAAGTTTTGGTCAAAAGATAAGAACATAACGGTAATAAAACTTCGAAAAGCATATCATAAAATAAGCGATAATTGAAAGGAAAAAAGAAAAACTTTAGTATAAAGTATAGATTGGGCATTAATTTTGTGATGATGAAAGGTTTGTGAGTAAGAACAGGCTTTGTGAGTTAGAACACTTGGATCATGTGCAAAAAATTGCACACCATTATTACATTTCCACATGATTCTTTCTATATTTATCTTTGGGTGGCTTAAGTGTGAAACATATGCTATGCTATGATGCTAATTGCTATTATACCTAAAGGCCCTTTTGTCATTAGAGCAAGAAGTGGTCCAAAAAAACCCCTTTTTTATTATATAATAAATGAATTATCGTATCAATTTTTATTTTAGGTAAAGTGAGATCTAAATTCTAAATGAAATTGGTAAAGTTTTATAAATCTAAGTCATTGATATTAAGAAAATGATCATTAAGTTTAAGTTATTGATATTAAAAAAAAAGGGCTATCGATACCATGTATTTTATTTAGATGTAAGTTTTACTTGTTTGCCATGGTTATTTAGAAATGATTATAAGATAGGTTCCATTATCTCAATCGAAAGCGTCTATTTGTTCCTTTCTACTTATACATCCACATTTAATTTGTCTATTCACCCGCTAATTCAATAAGAGAAAAACAAAATGACTTTATTTCACTTTCTGTCATGTCCGCGACGCGACCTATTAACTTCGTAGTCCCATTGATGGAAATAAATAAACTAAAGTTCAAGAACAAAATTAATTATAAACTACATTTTATATTACATATATAAGAAAGAAAAGAAGTCAATGGTTTGACTAATATAATAAAGAGAGAGATGCACAGTTGGGGGATATGTATTTGTGAATTGTGAGAGATGTCAAAGGGCAATAAAGGGAAATGAAGATTTTAATTAAAGAAAGAGGACAGTGTGGCATCCATCAACCAACACCTCTTTAAACTTTCCAATTTATTAATCATGCAACTCTATATCTACCTCCACTTATTAGASTCATTTTAAGATTTGAATGGCTTGTTCGCTAACATTTTCGCTTCTTGTTTTTTATTTTTTCGTTTTTATTTAGGAAAAACATAAGGTAACGGTTTTTGTTTTTAGTTTCATAAATGTTAATTTCGAAATTAAGTAGAAATTTTAAAAACAACACAATCAAGTTTTTTTGGTTTCCAGATTTTTTTCAAAAATATAGATAAAAACATTGTTTTATCCATTTTTTTACGGGTAAAATGCATAATTAATATAAAAAAAAGTAAGCATAGCATAAAAGGCTTGAATATGTAATTTGAAAAATTAATTTTCATGTAAAATTTTTATTTTTTAAAATTTAAAATTTAGAGGACAGAAAAAACAAGAAATGGTTAAATATATTTCTGTTTTTTTTTTCAATAAGAAAACCAAAAAACAAGAAATAATTATAAGACACAATTTTGTTTTTTTTTAATTGAAAAATAAAAAACTGAAAACATGAATGTTTGTGTTACCAAACAGACTCAAAAGTATCCTTATTTTTGTTTCGTTTCCTAGTTTGCAAAGTTTAAGATTAGAGAAATATGTGTTATAGATTGAACATCGCGAAGAAAAAAGATTCATAACCTTAATACTACTTTCTTTTTTTTTTTTGTTGCAAAATTTGGATATCTTTGTTACTTATTAGCTTACGTAATATTAATTCTAATTATTTAAATTTTGGGGATTATAGTCTATTCTAACGTTGACCCATTTTAAATTGGAATTAAGACCTTGAGATATCATTTCGTAATTAAACATCTAAGACACACACGAAAATAAACTATTAAGAGTCGTTCTTCTTTTTTTTCCCCTTCATAGAGTTAAATTATTACCATACGATCTATTAAAATAACATGTTAAATATGAAAATAAAATTATTGAAATATTTATGAAAACTTTTTCTAATTAATCAGTGCCATCAAATCTTAAAATCCAATTTGCACTTGAATTAAATGCTCACCTAAAATAGCTTTGCAATTAAAGCAACGGATCCTGAAGAAGCTGAAAGTCTCCCCCATCTGACCATTTTAGGTTGAGAAATGGAATTTATTGCTACTTTACCAAAAAAGTAAAAATAAAAAATGCTATGTCAAAGTTCCAATAACTTATCGACTAAGGCGATTCCAAAAATAGATACCATAGTAATTGGTCTGCCTTTAGAAAGTCGATGCGAAAAAGTCTCACGTAACCCTTTGTAAACGTGCCATTGATCTTTGAAATGATTTTTCTTTAGTTTTCATATATCATTCAGTCATTTCATAACAAATTTTATAGATCTTCAACAACCAACAAAATAAAAATTGAGTGAGGACGACAATAGTTATGATGTTCTATTCATTTATTTGTAATTTGTAAATATTTATTATTCATTATATTTTTTAATTTAATATCAATTTGACACAACAAAATTATTAGAGAAGTAAATTATATAGACGCATGATTTTTCATTTGTTTATTTAATTGAAATTTTTAAAATGATCAAAGATTTATTTTTATTTTTTTATTTAATCGAATGTCAATAAAACGACTAGAGTA